ATCTACGTCAAGTTGACGCTCACAGATGCCGTTTTTATTGAGAAGGCGTTATGGATGTGTCCCTTCTTCACTTTTGTATTAGCAATACTGAAGATGAAACAATGTATTGATATAAATATTACTTTCCTCCGTATATTTCCGTTTATTTTATTTATTTATTTTTCCTGCATTTTACACCAACGCAACAAAATTCAGTGAAACTAAACTCCATAAACCTGGCAAACACCCATAAAGTCTTTTCAGCTAAAATAAAGTATTTTACAGTACTATATCGCCAGCTTTGTATTGTACATGCTTTGCGATATGCAATGGAAGACGTTATATGGTGTATCACTCAACGCAGAGGGCGCTCAAAAGTTTTGCGTGACATTATTATAATTTGTAGTAATTTAGAGCGGTTCTGAGACGAACGTTGAAATATTTTGTCCGCATTGTTTATATCGATTACAGTTATTTGGAAGTAAGGCGTGTGTTATTTTGCAATAGCAAATTAAGAAACACAAGCAAGACAGTCCCCGGCTTGCTGTTGTTTCTTGCCCAAATCGTGCGAATTCACTTTCCGATAGTCGCGCCCTCTGGTGACGAAGCGCACATGTGACGTAAATAGATGAAGGAAAGGTTCGCTGGTTCCCGGCGTTCTTTGCGAATAGCTATAGCTTGGTACGCTATGACACTTGAGGCGGGAACCAGCCAAAAGGAAAGGTTGATATTGATTGGATTTGATTTCATGTCATGTTTATGTCACAAAAATGCCTCTCAGCTGGACACGAGCGCAAGTTATAGGAATGTGATCCGCACCCTCCATCGTCGGCTGGGGTGACGCCTCAGCTGATGGCGCTACGAAAAGGTTTTGTCAGGCTAGCCAAGCTCGGTGATGTAATTTACTGTCCGTGGTTACATGTATGGTACAAATGATATATAAAATGATCAACGTCTTGGATGATGGCGTATTGACAAGGCGATATTGCCCTGAAATAGTATGTTGCCAACATTTGAGTTTGAGACTTGATTCACTTGAAGTTGGCTAGTGCACGGTAAGCAGGTGAAGTGAGCTGTCTTTCTCGTCCGGGTTCAGCTTCCAATGCTGTAACGTTTCCGTTTTATATCGCACTTGGAAATCGTCAAAGTTCAGAACATGTTCCTTTGTATCCCCTTTGTCCACGTGACTTTCTATTGGTTTACATCGAGTGTGTCTCACGACGAGTAACGTCAGTCCGAGACCTAGAGCGCCAACAGCGACAAGAATGAGAATTCTGAACGAAATAGAAGTTCCGTTTATTTTTTCGCACAGTAACTTCATCAGGTTACAAACGTTGTGGCTAATATTTTGCATCTTCTGACAAACATTCTGGAAAAAAAAAACATGTATAATTATAGTAAACTGACACATTGCATTAAAATTTAGAATTGCGATATTGTCCATCATGATTGTACGTGCGTATTTAGCTGTGGGTCATAGCGTTTCTTGAGTCGGTCTTTCGTTGTTGTAATGATATTTTAGTCATTTCTGATACATTTGATGGCCTTAAAATTGATATTTTTTGACATTAAAATTGTATCCACAGTCTTTTGCAGGTTGTTTAGTAATTTCTGATACATTTGTAGTTTTTAGATATTAGTATTTTATTGACATAGAGCTTCGGTCACTCTTCATACTAGACTTGCGTAACACGAACATGCAACGCCAAATAACATCTACTTTTTGGTGCGTTAAACGACAATTTTAATGGACTCGTGGATCAACTATATTTCTGTCCTACTGTTCCCCGAACGTGTGATAACACCAACGAACTCGAAAGCAGTTAATTAAATGTTCATTTCCGTCATTACAACTCTTGAATTGTACATGCTACTTCAAATTATTCAGCTTTAACTTTTATGCATGGAAGCTATTATAAATACACATAAAATGTGTATTGTTTAGTAAATAAGATGACCTGTAGAAAATATTAAAATGTTACGTAAATCAGGGCCGCCAAAACGTCAGGGAAACCGAAAACTATTCATCTTTTACCAGTATTATTGTTTTTGTTCCAATTGTGTTTGAAGACAACTACTAGTAGTTCATTTTAAAAAAATGTTACGTAAATCAGGCCGCCAAAACGTCAGGGAAACCGAAAACTATTCATCTTTTACCAGTATTATTGTTTTTGTTCCAATTGTGTTTGAAGACAACTACTAGTAGTTCATTTTTAAAAAAAATTACGTAAATCAGGCTGCCAAAACGTCAAGGAAACCGAAAACTATTCATGTTTTACCAGTTGTATTTTTTGTTCCATTCGTGTTTGAAGACAAATGGTCCATATGAAAATGTAACGTCAGCTGATGCGACTCTCTTGTACCATCTGTGCCGCCAATTTACCGATTCATATGACAACGGCGCTGTATATGTTATAGACTACACAGATATAATGCTCGTATGATTTTCATCGCGCATAACTGGCCACAATCCCCGTTCGACATCATGGATTCCGTGGGGAAAACAAAAGGTCACGGGTCAACTTATCAAATTTTCAGCCAATGACAGCGTTCTAAAGAACAAAGCAATGTCGAAGCCGAGTTTCACCCACAGCGATTTATCGGAGCTGAACACGGAGAATGTCTACTCGAAAAAAATGGTAATCGCGACGACAATGCAGATTTCCCCGTGTAACATGTAATGTGACGTCGGGTACCTTCTGGAGTTGATAATAAATTAAACATCACGTGACACACAAACATAAAATTGCGCAGTCGAAAAATAAAACTTATATACCGCAAAATAAAGGGCATGCTACAGTTTTTAATCTATTTTAGTTGTATTTTGAAGATAACTCGCGCTCTTGTTTCTAACTGGGACTAAAAAGGTGTATTTACCATCGCAGACTTGGATTTCATTTCACAGTTGACCAATGGTTCGGCGGATGTCATGTGATCCGGTGACGTAATTGAACTTTCTTGTTGGACGGACGTTCTGGACGCGGTTTGGTCGTCGGTGGTGCCACCCAGGCTGCCATCTGATTGGTTATGACTCGAAGTTGATGACTCTGGTTGCTTGGTGTTGCTGGGATGGCTCACTGATACTGTACTGGTTTCTCTTGTTGTCTGTATAGTAGAAACATATTATTTATTTAGTTCGTTTGTATCATGGATATAGGTAAATTTTTCAAATCCACCTTTTTTGGTTGTTTGTTAACGCTTGGTGATGATATTTATTGGCATCATTTCTTAAAAATAGGAGTCTATAAGTCGATTAAAATATATTGTTTGTTTTTACATGAAATACGAACTTGCGCTGTGTACGACAGTGGCTTATTCTCGGGACGGTTAGCAAGGAGTGTCGTTCGAATGCTTCGTTATGATTGGTTAAAACCATAGTGACCAAGAGACGCTGTGTTGTTTGAGTTACGAACATCGAGTTACGAGTTATAATGTGGGATTGGTTTTACAAAAGTGGGCGCGGTTTCTGGACTATAGGCGTGGTCATTTTTGTAACTCGATACTTTCGTAACTCCATGCTCGTAACCCCGGCCTGTGTTTGTAAAAAAAAAAAAAAAAATCAGCATCTCAGTGGCGCGAAACCTTTTAACTAACCAGTTGTTACGAAGATACGTAACTTTTAGCTGAATATTATTGTGATAAAAGTGGTGTTTGCATATTATAAAACAAATTAACGCGCAAGCACGTTCTACTCAATCGTATACGTCACGCAATATCGTAGTATAGCAGACGATAATTTAACATGAACGACAGGCAAGTATCTCTGGGTAACATAGGGTGGTTATATTTTTATTTTCTTCCTTAAAATACGCACTCAATAATGTATTTAACTGATTTTATTATTATTATTATTATTAGTAGTAGTAGTAGTAGTAGTAGTAGTAGTAGTAGTAGTAGTAGCAGTAGTAGTAGCAGTAGTAGTAATAATAGTAGTAGTATTATAGTGTTATTTATACGCGCCAATCAGAGTACATGATTGTATTGGCAAATGAATATATCGTCGTGCTGATTTGTTGGCATAACATCAAGGCCTATAATTTCTAAGTGTAGTTTATGTTTACCACACAACAGAATTGTATTCACTGGTAACTAATACCCCGAAATGAAAGTCGTATACTAATTTAAACAACATTTTCAAGAATAATGAGCGAGGATTGTACCTGAAAGTTTGAGAATATACGGTATCTCCCTCCCGAAAAGTCCATACTTATTTTTTATATATACGCTACTCTGAATGCTGGTGACACGGCGATTCAATCGAAATAGATTAACAGTGTTTTAAGTCTACCATATGTTACAATGCGTTGTTATGGCCTGGGATTAGTATACTACAATGCTCTGTTGTTCATTGCACGTATATATTTAATTGGATTTCCCACGAAATTCTTGAAATCCGTCATTCATACGTACCGAACATATCGTAACAAAACATACGAAAAATACGCATGTGTTTCTTTTTACCAGGTCCGATTATAAAAGATACATATTGAAATGAATAAAAATAAAACAACATTCAATCGCAGAAACGTTACGCAGTCTCAAAAATGAACGAAATAATAGAGTTTCTGTCGCCACCGGTGGCGTTGACATGACAATTTGAACACTGCGATTTTAGGGGCAAAGACTGTGAACAAAAATGAATCCTCGTACAAGAAAAATGGTAAAAAATGCCTGTGCGCATCAACTTGAACCCTTCCGGGCGCAGGAAAGAATACCACAGAGCATACACATAACAATACAGGTTGATGTTTCTGCGGAAAATTGCTACAAATGACAAGGACTTTTATGCCATTTTGTTGCAAGTATCGAATGGGTGGTGCTGGCTGAATAAAGAATGAGAAATTTTTCGTCACGAAAAAGTGTTCTCCCTCAAAAATGATTGGTCTGCTAAACCTGATTGGTCTCCTAAACTTAGATTCAAGTGAGGTCGACTTCTCACATAGAAAACTCAAAATATCGGTGTGTTGGTGTTTTGACTTTCTGTAGTACTAGTAGATCACCTGAATCGTCTGTACCTCGAAAACAAGGTTTCCCATTGCTTAGTTAGTGCTGTGGGTGACAAAAGATGACGGCATACGTGTTATACCGGTTATTGGCGACACGGACTCACGCATTACATCTGTGTTGATCACGTTTCGACGCGATTAATACCAGCTGCTACATCATAGACCTTCAAACCCATGTTTGTTCAGTATGAACTTTTTTATATAATTACTTACAATGACGTTACTACGACGGAAAATATTGATCTGTGTTGTTAATAAAAACATTAATTGGGTGTTTGGGTGCCTTCAAATAGTGTGCAAGATGGGGAGGTCGGTCCAAACTTATTATTTGTTCAGAAAGTACCACCCGGCCTTGTGCACATTATTATTATAATGCCCAATTTCACGACGAGCTAAATAAACAGTCACATAAATATGTGTGTAATGTCTCATTTTATGACGCAGATTAGTTTTATTTACTAGTACACATTTTGTTTATAACATTTTGTTGGCTTATTATAGAGAATATCACCTCCGTCATATTATGCGTTCACCGTGACGTGTAAATATGTGTACGTTTCGATCTTTCCCGTACGCTGCATTTTAGATATTTCTTATCAGGCTAAAATTATAACAAAACTGCTGTAAATGCGCCATTCGTGATGTCATATTTCAAACGAAAACTACATGTTTTGACATGTGAAATGAACACAACGCTGTTCATATATTACCAATGTGTTAGTGGCGTGGATGCGCAGTGGGGTGCGCAGACTTCAAAGACTAATTGTATTCCACTTTCATCCCATATGAAGCTTGAACTGTAAAAAATCGGTTTAAACTGCATAATTTGATTGTATTTTTCAAGACAGTTAAAAGTCCCACAGAAAGTGATAAGATATTATTGTAACGTGCACAGCTGGAGTCAGAATCCGGCAATTTTTACAGATTGAGCGACTAAATGCGCGACCACTATGTGTATATATATTTTTAAAACCTACACGAACTTGCACGCGTTATGATTTGTTCTTTTATGAACCTCGACTTTACACATCGACATAACAATAAATGAACGCCCAGCTTCAAAATAATAACAGTTATACGCATTATAAAAGCTACACAATAGCACAGTGTCATATCACAGCGTACACGGACACGAAAATCGACCTTACCTGGTAGAAAACGTCTTGTCCTGTAGCTCTCCTTACCACCAGGACTTGCAGCAACGCTGCCAATATGACTATTGTTCTACTAGTCATAATTCTAACATCATGCTTTCAAAGTAGTTAGTCTTATAATGTCGAGGAAGGTTACATATGGCTCGATATATTTTATGAAACAGAAATGAATTCACTAACGTCATCATATGGGCCACCTGTTGCGTGTATCGAGGCGTAGGACAATCAGATTTACTGGACAGCGCCATCTGCGATGGAAATTATGGTTTACTTCTGTTCGTGCGACGCAGCATCACCACCACCATGTGCACCATGTTGTGTTTGTGTGTTTGACTGTTCTGTCTACACACTCGTTACAATGACAAATCGATGCAATCCATTAAAGAATAAAGCACACTGCTTTATTACATACACATGTGCCCTGCACGCCCCGGTCACGTGTACAGCACTCCATTATATTATTTTCTCATTCGTCATTCAACTCAGCTTTAAAGATGTCACTTTCAACAGAATATTCCATTTTTTTAACGATCGCATAAAAAGTTTCTCTTAAAATATAGATTTCAGAACGCTTCCGGATCACAACTACCAACAAATGTGGTTTAAATACAGCCTAAGAGTAAAACTAGTCTAAGTGTATGCGAGTAAATACACTCCGTCACATCTCCATCAGTATTTATCCCAATCATATTACCCAAAAATCATAATTAGATTCTGGATTTCTATCTGGATGTTTAGTTACGCATCACCCATCACAATAATTGTGTTCATATTAGAGATTTCGGTTCCCTCCTGGGTATCGGAAACGAGTCGACATGCTTCGAAAAATATGATCTCCAATAATGAGTCGGGATCTAACTCGACAAGTGTCAAGATTGGTGTGTGAACGCTCGACACGTGCCGCAATCTGTGGCCGTTCGTCAATAAAATAATACTGTGTTTTCAGAGATTTTCTATATTGTTTATGATGACCGACTACACAATCATACACCGTTGTCTATTTCAAAGATATTGCTAGTGACGTTAATTCTACGTCACAGTACTTTCGCAGCTAGAGGACGCGACAGGCGAATTCAAGGCAGCCGTGGTATGATGTGATTTACAGTAAGCTAACAGAAACGCGTTCAAGTTGCTTGGTGGCGCACTACAGATTATTTGTTTATAGGAAACACTCTGAATTACTTATGACTATACTTACTGTTCCGATTTCTAATGATATGGTGACATGTCAATCCTTGATAAATTAAAGCGCAGTGGTCGTCGCGCAGCGCGTGTTCGAATTTCACGTGAATAAACAATGTATTTTCCACGCGTTGTATACGTCGCTATGAGTCCCATATCCAACAGGACACGGCACGACGACTGCCGCCTTTTAACTACACACTTCCAGAACGATACTTCACAGTTGTTAATATTCTTGTCTACGTTATTATGTTGTCACTCCTGTATTGCGCATATAAACAAACATGAGAAATAATACAGAAAGACATGAACGCATATGTTTCCTGTATGACTCTCATTTTGTTTTAAATATGTTCATTCTTTGTCATTTCCAGAATCAAATGCATTCCAATCTCTAATTATAACCCACCACTGTTTGAAAATAAGTAATGTCATCGGAAAACCCCACCTAACTTAAAACATCGTCCTTTTTTTTTTCTACCGCGCCTTAAACTTCGAAATCATTGATAAATGTTTGCCCTCAGTTTGAATCACGAACCTGGGAGAAAGCCATTACAGCTTGATGTTATTATGCTATTGATTCCTTTTTATCATTAGTTGTTTACATAGTAGCCAATAAAACATGTAACAAGTTGTAACTGACTTTGAAGCAAACCGGACGGTGTTACCGCAACATCTATATCTTCACAACAATAATTAGTACCTAATGGTCGACATTTCCGTAGAGGTTATAGTTTTAGTTGTTGTTTTTTTGCGGTGTTTTATTAGTACATTTTAATTTTCTTTAAATATGCAAACATGTTGTATTGTATAACACAATGTCGGATTTGTTAGACATTGTGACCAATTAACATGTTGACGTCACAGAAGCACTCCGCCACTAGAGGGCGTGACGTCGTTTATATGAGTTGTGTTTAGGCAGGTTTTTGCTTGGAGGGTACTTCACTGTTGAAAAACGTAGACACATATGTAATGATATTTGAATATATGTCGAAAGTATTGTAGCACTAGTTTATGGGACTGCAACTATTTAAATAATTTAATCATCAGTACACTCCACTAAAACTGATAAATTGTTGTCATTGGTTCTTTACACCCTCTAGTGACTGAAACAATTGTATGCCTTTTCTGTCCTATGTGATAGGTGTCCTTATCGCATTGGCGGTCTGTATAGGCACATATTTAAAATAAAAGTGAGATACAACAATGGCGTCAGCTTTGGCACCATCCACCAAATGGTTGTGTACAGTATCCTCTTCCTCCGCATGAAAAGTTGATATAAAATGAAAAACCTATAACTAAAAGCAATATCTGAAACTGTTTACTAGTACATGTATACGGTCCGAAATGATGATGAAATGTAGCGACAATTCTTCAAATAGCACTGAATTTTGGGCGGGAAAATATCTGGGTTAATGATCATAATCTCGGTGCTTTCGGACATTTTTTTTAAAGGGCGGCCGTCGTCGTGCCGCGTCCTGTTCGATGGGACTCATAGCGACGTATACAACGCGTGTAAAATACATTGTTTATTTACATGAAATTCAAACACGCGCTACGCGACGACCACCGCGCTTTAAATATAAGACTACTAAAAAATACTGCAGGTGTGGCACAGTTGACAGCAGAAATGATTAAGTAGTTAACTTGTTTTTGAAGAATTCGCAACATATTTCAGATATAATGTATCACTCCAATTAGTTGTGCCCTCTAGTGTCGAAGCGCTATGTCGTTTAAATGTCGTTTAAATAGTCATCAGTGATTGGTTGCGTAGTCTTTCGCCATTTAGAATATAGTGAATGTCTAAAAAAAAACAATATTGTTTATGACGAACGATCGTAGACCTAATATCAAAGTGTGAACGACATTCCTTTCACTAATTAAGTCAGTGAATCGATTTATCGACCGAGGGCGCAATTTATAGAAAAGGTCCATTGTTAGCATCACATGTCAGATACACGTATGGACCTACAAAATGGGTTGTGGGTCGATAGTATCACCATCCAACACTCCACGCCCATCCATTCATCGACCATAGTTCCATTTTACGCTTCTTTTAAACTTGTTGCTATGTAAATTTAAACAACGCGACAATCTCAGAGATCAGTCGCGATATTTAGTGACATATCGAATATCTGATACTAGTAACAATGTTTTGGAATTTTAAGAGACACTCTGCCTTCTCAGAACTTGTCTAAACACGTAAGAGTGATCAATACTCAACGATACTAACTATCGATTGTACGTAGGCGCACCGTGTTGACATGAATATCCCATTTCGTGTCTAATGTTACGATGTACAGTTGGTATCAGGGGCAGTTGATTCGAGTGCAATTGTGTCAGGTATCTCGTGACTCGAACTTTCGCTTGAAAAAAAAAGTATGTCAAATTCTCCTACTGGTATTTTTAGACTAGGAATTGTTTTAACCAATTTGTTGGCACTTTGTACGCTAGTGTAGTGTATGGCGTTTCACTTGGTTTTCATTGAAAACATTTAGCGAACAACAAAAATTGTAAATTCATTCTAGTTTGTATACATTTGTATATACATTTTTTCATGTTTTTTTTTTACTCTACTGATGTTTGAATCGGGCAAGTTTCCATTGTTTGAAATCGTGATAAACGGGAAAAACTCCGTTTCTTAAATAAAGTCCAGCTCATAGCTAGCACACACGCAGAGAGTAATACCATTTACGGTAGTTCACGGTGTGTTGTCGTTTTCAACACCAGTCACAAGTCAGGGACACCACGTGCGTACCTCTGATTGAAGTACATTACTAATTATTTTAAAAACTACATCAAGATCGATTTCATCCCCATTTTGATCTTTCAAAATCAATTCCTTATTACAAGGTGTGATACCAGTATAACACAATGGTAACCTGGGGAATTCTGTTTTTTTTGTAACGAGCTTTGTCACGTACACAAAAGTACGTGTAAGTACGTATAGAACTTGAACTCAGTGGATTTGGCAGTTTTGTTGCTGCATAGTGCGTTTCCCCTGTAAAAAAAGGGGGGGTTCGAGGCTCGAAGAAAACGGCTTAAACTGAATAAATGTGCGCATGCTCTCGTACAATTTGTCATCACGGACTTCCAAATGGTCGAAAAATGTGCATTTTTAGAAATTTGGCAAAAAAAAAAAGCCTGTGTTACCACCAATTAGTTGGGTATACAGTGATTCAAAATTATTTCTGTGGCCAACAATTAACATTATCCCCAAAAATTGCAAAAAAGGACTTTCGAGTTTGTATGCGTCCAGTTCATGCGGTAACTAAATGCATACAGCCACAAATTACTCTGCATTTGTTGTTCCAGATGTTTATTTTGGGCCGAAAAGTCGTTCGAATATAAAATTTCCCAAATTATTTTTTGTAGTCAGTATTCTACCAAAAATACTGAAAAAATGCAGAAAAGCAATTTTTATTTCAAATTTATTAGCACTACTATCGACCGCTATTGTGATCATTATCTCTGGTCTAAAACTACACGTGTGCACGTTTTTTTTTTTAGTAACCGTGGCGTGCGCAACACACTGTCGCGGTATTACACCCGGTAGTCACAATAAAACGTCAATATCTCCATAGCGTTATTTTGTTTCATCATTATATATAATTTTTAAAATGTTGATACAGTGTCTGGAATCTGGAATAAATGCCGTTGCGCCACCTCCGACTGATCATGGGTTTGTAGGTCCATAGCCCGACCTACGCTGTTTGTATTTTTTAACAGGTACCGCCTCCTTGTGATCCCTTTCTTCTGGCCGTAGACAAACAAGTTAATCTAAGTCGTGTTTAACTTAGAAGTCATTAAAGGTAAAGATATTATGTTACGAGTGCGTACACCTGTTCGGCAACTGTGGTCAAATTTTGACGCGGCGAAGTGCGTCTGGAGAGTTGTATTATTCAATTCGCGTTGGTCATGGAGGTATACCTCCATGCCTTGTCCAAAAAAACACATAGCCGAGCTAAATAGAAATAAGTGAAA